GGAGTGGCTGTCGTGATTGATAGGTTTTTAGCACCTAACAGCGCTCTTAAAAATAGGTATGCCAAGTAATAGACCATATGAACTACTAAAAAAACTAAAATATACCTTAACCTGGATTTCCAAATCAAAAATTTTTCAGCCGGTCCCACTTGCTAGCATTTTCATAGTACACCAGGGTTGAAAAGCCGCTTCGCGACTTTTCAACCCTGGCCCCCGTGTCGCGATCCCGCGACTGCATGCGCATGCTGAATGACCGGAAGACCAAGCCAATAACCATCCCTTCCCCTCATTACCATGTCGATTTCCCTGTGTTCCCTGGTATATAAAGCCCCGATTTCTCGTTGTGATTGCTTCAGTCATCCGCTCCGACCCCGGCTTCCCTGTCCTCATTTACTTCAACGAGGTGTCACCCCACCGGGGACATCCTCCGAATAAATGCTGTGACCCTTCATGTCTGCTCTCCCACGCTATCGAGACATGTGGTGCCCCGTGGGATCCCGGTCGACATCTACTCGGACGTGATGCTGAACGCCGCCCCCGGGAGGGCCACGTACCCGTGTGCATCAAGAAGACCCACTTTTTTGGCGTGATCCGGACGTTTTGAACGGGCTGGCGGAGTTCCACCCGACGTACCGTGACTCGACCGTGTAGATGAAGACCCACTTCTTTTGGCGAGATCGGGCCGCCCCAGAAGGGCTGGCAGAGTTTCACCCGGCGTGCTACGACTCGACCGTGTTCAAGGGCAACTTCTCGCGTTCAAGGGCAACTTCTCGTGTTCAAGGGCAACATCACGTGTGCCAGGGCGTCTTCTCGTGATCACGGGCGTCTTCATCGTGTACAAGGGCAACGTCATCGTGTACCAGGGCAACTTCGCGTGATCAAGGGCAACTCCACCGTGTTCAGGGCGCCGCTTTGTGCTAGGACCAAGAATCCGCTTCGCCCACCGGCATCGCGGAAGGTTGGCCGGTACAAGGCGTGTGCGGGCCGATGACGTGCGTGGCGACGAGTCAAGAAGCAACGATGTCTGCCACCGCGGGTCGTCTGCAGACCGTTCGACTACTGCCGCTGAAGCTTCGCCGCCCCCGGGAGTGTCGCGATCCCGCGACTGCATGCGCATGCTGAATGACCGGAAGACCAAGCCAATAACCATATCTTCCCCTCATTACCATGTCGATTTCCCTGTGTTCCCTGGTATATAAAGCCCCCGTTTCTCGTTGTGATTGCTTCAGTCATCCGCTCCGACCCCGGCTTCCCTGTCCTCATTTACTTCAACGAGGTGTCACCCCACCGGGGACATCCTCCGAATAAATGCTGTGACCCTTCATGTCTGCTCTCCCACGCTAACGAGACATGTGGTGCCCCGTGGGATCCCGGTCGACATCTACTCGGACGTGATGCTGAACGCCGCCCCCGGGAGGGCCACGTACCCGTGTTCATCTGATGTATTCCGTGCCCGTCATCCGTTCGCCACCGCGAGGATCAAGGCGGCCGGCTTCTTCTCGTGTTCAAGGGCAACATCACGTGTGCCAGGGCGTCTTCTCGTGATCACGGGCGTCTTCATCGTGTACAAGGGCAACGTCATCGTGTACCAGGGCAACTACGCGTGATCAAGGGCAACTCCACCGTGTTCAGGGCGCCGCTTTGTGCTAGGACCAAGAATCCGCTTCGCCCACCGGCATCGCGGAAGGTTGGCCGGTACAAGGCGTGTGCGGGCCGATGACGTGCGTGGCGACGAGTCAAGAAGCAACGATGTCTGCCACCGCGGGTCGTCTGCAGACCGTTCGACTACTGCCGCTGAAGCTTTGCCGCCCCCGGGAGTGTCGCGATCCCGCGACTGCATGCGCATGCTGAATGACCGGAAGACCAAGCCAATAACCATCCCTTCCCCTCATTACCATGTCGATTTCCCTGTGTTCCCTGGTATATAAAGCCCCGATTTCTCGTTGTGATTGCTTCAGTCATCCGCTCCGACCCCGGCTTCCCTGTCCTCATTTACTTCAACGAGGTGTCACCCCACCGGGGACATCCTCCGAATAAATGCTGTGACCCTTCATGTCTGCTCTCCCACGCTAACGAGACACCCCGTCTTACCCCCATACTTCATCATTGAATAAACGCCTGAATTCCTGGGCAAAAAGTGAAAAGCACGCCCTCTCCCCCATTATATAGGCTTCCCCCACTTCCGGTGTATGCTAATTGATTCCTAACAAAGAGGCCGAGCGAGATTTTCACAAAAACTTCATTTTAATATCGAAAACAGCTGATTTTTAAAAATCTCATATGCGTGCAGTCGTGTCATGACCATTACGCACCTAATGACGTATCATACGTACCCGTAACTTTCTTCCCTATTGAGATACGACTGGAACATACGGACGGAAGTTGCATGCAAATGCACACACACAAACACATACCCTATTTTTTTATATATAGTAGGATAAGATTTCATTATTTTTTCTGATTTTTCTCTAGTTTCGCTCCAATTTCCAACCCGCGACTTTACTGTTTCAAATTCCAACCGCCAAAGCGGTACGCGTTACTGCCAGGGTGATTTATAGTAATAGCCAGTGCCGATTCGCCCCCTCCAGGGGTGGACCACCCATTTTTGGCCACGTCGGTCCCCCTCCACCTCCAAGGCAAGCCGAGCATTTTTCCTCGAAGATTGATGGGCCCCGGTCGTGGGAGGCCACCCTGCAAAATTCTTATTTTCTGGAATGAGGTGGACAGCTAGAAGGGGTGGGACTTGTTGAGGAATGTAAAATTACGCTTTAAAATTGGTCAAAAATACCTTTAAGCCTTACCTTCAATCTTAAATAACTTAAAAAATCGCTAGTGTTCAAACTCCAATTGCAAGACAAAAAAAGGGTCTTAAGAAGTCCCAAAGGCGACCATACCGCAAACTCTAGCTTTTAGCGGAATCACAAAATTCATGCGGACTGCGAGGAGCACGAGGTGTTCAACTTGTTGGAGGAGCATCAAAAACGTGGTCAGAATCGTCAAAAATAGGGTAATACCTTCAAATTTGCATAAAGAACGCTCTGAATTAAACCCTAGCTGAAAGAATGAGCCGGAGAGGGAGAACGGGAGGTGAGCATGACTTCTCGAGGATCAGGAAGATACTCCGAAATTTTTAACAATACCGTAAAACAACGCCAAAAAACACCCAGACTTCAAACTCCAACTAATAGCCAAACCACTTAAGCCCCCCGAAGCCAATTGATCGAGTCGCCCGGGGAGCGCCAGAGAGTTTTGTGTGTGACGAGTCAGTTGGGGAGGAAGGAGTCGCAGCCAGTCAGTCACTCGGTGGTTACAGCATTTGGCCAAGTGGCCAACCAAGGGGGGGGGAGGAAGAGGAAAAGCTTGTGTCCCCGCACCGCAGCTTCTCATATATGTATGCATACATCCGAATGCGACGCCAAAAAGCTGGCGCTCGGTGGTGCTAGCTAGCTTTTTGGGGAGGAAGGGAGCAGAGCTGACATTTGGATATCTGAGTCACAGAAAAACACATGGCGGAGGAGATTTGAAATTCGAGAGCAGTTTTTGGTGGTTGCATGAAGCGGAAGCCGAAATTTAAAAGCGGTAGGCTTTTAAGGTTGAGCTAAAGTGTCTGTGTGATAGCGAGCAGACTAGTATTCAGAACCAATAAAATCCATACGCATACCTTGTCAGCGCCATTAGAGTCAACTTCACCTGTCATGGTCCCTTTAATGCCCCTGAACATGATCGAGAGAGCGCAGAATATCAAATCCTGGGCTTTTTCGGTCGTTTATGCCTTTCCAATCCCTTTAAAAACATCTATGTAGGCATAAAAAATTAACGACGCTATTTTCGAAGTATCGGCTAACATTTTCAGATTATTCGAGTTAATTCGCAAAAATTTTACGATCCGTTAATTCCCTAAATATAATTTAAATATTGTAAAACCGTCTTTTGAATGGTCCAAACTTTACCGAAATCTGTAAAAATTTTGTTTTTGTATAGAAAAATAGCTTTTTTTAAGTTTAGTAGTGACCTATTAGCATTTTTCTATGCACTTGCTGACATTTCCTCGTCACTATTTGCAACATGCCTACCATACCACCCGTTCTCTAATTCGAAATGGATCCCTTTTTCCAACCCCTCCCCCATTGCTCCACTCATCCAAGCATGCGTGTGCGGATTCCTGTTCGCTTGATCGGACAGCTCTTTGGGCTCGTTTGATTTTATAGTTTCGGTCATCGGGCGGGGGTGGAGAAAGCGCGGTCGGGAGGTGCTGCGGATAATGTCTGTCGTTTTAAGGGACAACCGATTAATCCGTGAAGCAAAAAGTGCTGGTCGGGGAGGACGTCGTATCAAAGAACCGCACATGAGGTTCAACAAAACGAGCGTGGAGCTCGAAAGTTTGAACGGTCATTTGGTTTCGAATCGGTGTTTGCGGGTTTTGGGAGGGTGGGTACTGTAGCTAGCAGCTTCTCGAATTTTTAAGACGTTTTAAAAATTCAAAAACATAATTTTTGCCAATCTAGCCACCCGGGAGTCTCATCTTAGCGTCTCTAGAATTTTTTAAAACATCGTAAAACGTTAAAAACACAATTTTTATTCTAGTTCCACCACCCGGAAGTCCTTAACAACCTCTAGTTTCGCCGTTTTAGCCAAAATCTCTATTAGGTTTCAATTCACTGTCAAGAAGGAGTCCTTGGGAGCCCGGATACTTTAGCTTCAAACACTACTACCCTTTAAAAGTATCCTACGCAGTTTAAAAACACATTTTTATGCAAATAACACCACCCGGAAATCCTTTCCAATCTCTAGTCTCAAGATTTCAACCTCCAAAAAACCCCCAAACCTTCCCCCAAATTCAGCACAACCTTCTTCCGCTAGATCACCCGCCCGATTTGTTGATTTTAGGTTCGGGCGATCAGGCCGACCCCAGCTCGCGTAGAAGAAACGGCACCCTGTTTTCGGGAGCTCGATTCACGGCTATCAGCCTCTGGCTCTCGGCGGCAGACCCTCTCATTCCTATGCTCAATGACATCATCGCCTTTTTTGCCATTTGCTTGATAACCCGGCAAATTGCTGACCCGGCGCCGCCACACGTTGGTACTCAGGTTCCGAGCGCCTACTATGACCTGAATCGGACCGCCGTCACGGCCTACTGGCATAATGTGCTGATGAGATCGTTGATAAAGGTCTGCCAGCTCTTTCCATGCTCATGCTCATGAATTCATTTAGTCTAAACTCGAGCGAGAGAAGAAATATTTGAATCGAATTGAAGCCGCTTTGGCTGATATTTGTCTCAGTGAAGCCAAGACGTTGGTGGATAGACTACGATGTTTAGATACTGCCATCTCGCAAAGGAGCGCGAAAGACTTCACTTATGAGGTCAAAAGCTCTAAAAATTTATTACTCTACTTTGTTTTAGAATGTATGTGACAAAATGCCACGCGAAGCCTATGTACGCGAAGAAAAGCCTATTTTAAATGAACCGGCTCCTCCCCCAATAGCCTTCGGAACTGTAAAATTCACGATGAAACGCCGCTCTCGCACGAGGAAGAAGACAAATACCTTCCGCATCAAAAAACGCAGAAAATCTCGACGAAGACTTGAGCTGCTCCAGAATCGAGCGAAGCAACTTCAAAAAGAACAGAAACTTTCCAAGTTTGTGCGCTATTTGAAGAGCTTCAAAACGGAACGAAGCTGGAGGAGAAAACGGGAGATTACCGCCAAGCAATTGAAGGATATGCCAGAAGGTGAAATCTAATGCTATTGCTAACATTAAATTTCAGATTATACAAATTTTGGCAAGGATATTTATGCTATGATCTTCGAAATAGAAGAGCATGAAAGGAAGGTCGAACGAATTAACAATTTTTGGTCTATGGTTACTAAAGAAAACGCGAAGGTACCAAAAATGCGCTATAAAAGATGTTATCTTTTAGCTTATTCAAAGTGCGAACAAGAATATAGATGTTATTGCTCCGAAATTATCATCGAAACGCCGATTGTTAGAAGGAGCTCTAGCCAGAGTTCAACCCTTATTTGTCGGTGACAACAAAAAATCTAAACAACTCAAGTTTAGCATAAACAGCAATCAAAGAATCGGAAGACGATGCCGACTTCCGTGTTGTCGCCTAGATTTTTCTCTAGTTCAGCGTCAGATTATGCTGATGTGTTGTCGCCAAATCTTTTTGGGTTACGTCCGGGTGGAATTCTATCACTTTATGATCTCGGTCAAGTGCGTTCTTTGTAAAAGTCGAAAAATTAATTCTAGCATGGCCGCGGTGCCTTTGATCTCTCAATGACTAAATTTCTCTTGGAAATATCGGGCAGCGCGAAAGCGATTCGACATATTTATGCGGATATGGGGCCGGAGATTCGGTAAGTAGCGTAGGCTTACCGGTTTCTGAACGAAAACTATTGAGGCGAATCAAGGAAGAAGTCTATCCAGATACTATGGAACTCGCTGAACATACTTTAAATGGACTAAAAGCTAGGAGGATGATGGACAATCGGTTATTTTTCTACTAATTCTTAATTCCCTTCAGACAGCAATGCGAATTAAAACATTACGGCTACACCCATCTATCCACAAATCAAATCCAGCTGATTTACAACAAAAATAACAAGTGTAAGTTTCTACGTTAAACATCGAACCATCACAGTCTCCCGGGAACTTCCGCTTAATTTAACGGCTTGGGACGACATGAGATGGGAGGATAAAGAGCAGAGACTGGAGAGAATGCTGTGGAACATGCTATCCCTGGCGACTAATCATGATCCGCCACCAGCGCCACAACAAGGTTTGCGACAAACGAAACGAAAGCAAAGCATTTAGAAGCTTTCGTAACTGAGAAGCCAATTGGCCCGGAACCGCCAAGCCCAATTTTCCGTCGGAAACGAGAGGTAAGCTGCCGAATTCTAGGTGAAGTCACTTTTTATAGTCTCCGGAAGAAGGACCTCCTGGGTCAACGACTCGAGTAAATGGTATTCTGTATGAAGTCCTTGAGCCATACTCATTTGATGTTTTATCAGGTTATCCAAAGCTCACCCAGGTCTTATAACAAATCTTTAGGACTCGATGCCTACTTGGAAGCTTTGGTTTTATCGCCCAGCGCTTTCACCGTCGAGATTTTTCAGCCAGAATTGTTGATTGTAAGTCTAAATTGTGTAGAAGAAGAAAGATCATCCCATTTAGCTTGGTCTGTTATCACCACGAGCTTTCAATGCTGTCATTTTATCACCTGGGGCCTTGATTGCTAGAATTCTCAGTCCTATGGGTTTTAAAGTCGAGGTACCTTCCCAACTCCAAATAAAAAACGCTAAACATTAAGGTCCTCTCACCAAGAGCCCTTGGCGCATGGGTATTGGCTCCAGAGGGGTTTGTCGCCGATATTCTAACGCCAACGTAAGCGTTTCTCTACCATATAAAGGCATTTAACTTTAGTTTCCTTGAGCCTAGGGTTCTGTCGCCAATTGGAGGCATCGTTTCAGTATTATCACCAAGTAAGGAAACTGAAAGTAAGGGCTTACAAATTCTGCGTTTCAGATATCCTTGGCCCACATATTGGCGGTACGGATAACCTCGGGATTACTGTTTTGAGCCCAAATATTCTATCGCCAAGAATTGCGGGGCGCGAGCGGCTGCTTGTCGAGGTACACTTCGGAACCTTCTTCCTAAAGCATACAACAGATTTTATCCCCACATATTCTCGGTGGAGAACATTTGCACGCCCATCACCGTGGCGGACATGAACCCGAAGAGGACGATGATGAGCCAGCGAAGGGCGGTCACGCTTCGATTGAGCTGATTGATCTGCATGGATTGGCTCATGACGTCGGCCCTGGCATGTTCCATGTAACCGTCAAAGATCAAACAGAACCTTTTCAGACGACCCCATTACCCTCGAAAAGATTATCGGTCGCGGCGAGGAATGGGCGGAGGAAGAGGTTATGCCAGGTCAGCTTCAAGTTTCTCAGGCCGTTTTCCTTCATCGGCTATAAGCTTTCAAAACCCGTGCCTAGATGACCGGCATCTTCTGGAGTTCCTTGGAATCCCGCTGCCACCCTCACACGCCGAGGCCCATCTATCACATTTGGCGGAAGAGGCCGAGGCAGGCCTTGGCCATGCAGCTGTGGAAGAGCAAGCAGAGTTGGCAGCCAGGGAGGGAAAATAAAGATCATAACCCAACCCGCCATATCATCATGCAATCCTAAGAATCAAACTCTTTATTCCTAGATGACTAGATTTCTGGTCGAAAGCAATGTGCAAGTACCATGAAATTACCCGAGGAGAGAGAATGACGGCCCAACACTTCGATACTTGTGACAAGGGGATGGGAAGACTGGTAGATAGAACCGGGGCGGGGTTACTATCAACAGCTGAGTTAAGGGAGCCCTGTCAGCAGTGCTTATACACGGTTAACCGCATATACACGGCACCCAAGGGCCGAGAGGTGTTATGAGCAGATGCTGACAGAGCCCTTTAAGCGAACCGTGTGTAGTTGTTGTCATTAAGGGGGGCTTGTCGAGAACTTTTTGTGGTTTGGGAGTACAGACTTCGCACAGTGAGTGGTGGGGGAACGAGTACAGACAATCATTCGTGAGAATGCGTTGGGTAGAGGGTTCGGATGGTACGGTCCATGCCGACTTCGACGGCCGTATCGATGGGCTTGACGATGAAGGGGATGGCAGCCAATCCGATCAGCGTCGTAGTCCACTTCTGAACCGAAGGAGGCCAACGGGTAGTCCTGTAAATGAAACATTCATATAATCCAAGACAAAGAAGCACCGGAGGCGTTAACGGTGATGAAACAAACCTTTTCAGAGCCATTCCTGTAAAGTGACAGAGACGATTGATGGTAAATCCAGGGATCGCCACCGAAGCCAGCGCTTGCCAAACGAAGGTGTCGGCGGCGGCGAGTGCGACCAGCTTGTTACGCTCATCTGGCGACTTCCATTGGCGCTAAAAATTAAATATAATAGACGCCGATAGACTACCAACAAGTTTATCAACAGCTAACAAAAATTACTCACCATGTGTACTTTTCTGCTCTTGTCCAGGGCATCGGCGCAAACGTAACCCATTGCAACGACGTACGTGGCCTTGACGGCCACCGATGGGATCATAGACCGAAAGGCTTCACCGACTTCATTAGCGTATCCTAAACAAAAGTACAATTCGATTTTGAAAACCAAACCTAGGAATCGAATGGGCGTATCTCTGTAGAAATCAATCTGCTGAAGTTCCTTTTCTACGGTCGACTCGCTGCGTTTCCCCCCGCCATCCGGCGCCATTCTGAAAAAAGAAGATCATAAGCAGCAATGAAAACGGCAGAGTTGAAATGGAAAACAAGAAACGAAAAAAGATATGAAATTGGAGTTCCGTTTTTTTTTTAAAGAGAAAATTGTGGGCGCAGGGATCGGGATTTACCACAAGGGTTGTTGGGTGTTAGTAGCGTTGCGTAGTGATGGGGTGATAATGATAAGGCTAATCAGTGACCGGAAATGGGAGAAACAATGTTGTTTGTGAAAGCTTTTCCAAGGAAAAATATTGTAATTTTAAGGGCTATAAAAGACCTTTAGAAGCCATACGATAAAAGCTTGTAAAGCATGCATTTAGGGACGAAACTACCTCGCTAAAAAGGCGTAAAATCGGGAGCAGTAATAAAATGCAGGCTTCAAGATTCGTTTTTAGAAAAAAAAATCAATTTTTCGATTGTTGTAAGAACTGAATAGTGAAGATTTAGTGGTAGATGAAGATATTTGTCATAGTAAGGCGTAACGTTTGTAACTGCAAAATTCGCTTGCCCTTTATTCATTACAACTAATCCCTGCAAATGCCGAACAAATCGGCATTCACCGCGGAAGTCCAGTAGTTTGCGCAAAAAATGCATCCCGAGGTGGTACGGGGGCGAGCTGGTAGCTGAACATACAAAGATGACGGTCATCAGGCAATAAAAGCGTGCCATGGTCGACGGTCTACATTCTATTCCCCTCGAATGGCCGTCGTCAAAGCGATTGTATTACTCGCTATACTTTGCCAGATCTCTCTTGTAGAGGCCGGTAGGCGTAGGGGTAATCGCTCTCGATGGGGCAACATGACCTCGGATCAGGTCGACGACTTCAAGAAGGTATCTAGAAATCGAAGCCCTACCTTGATATGCGATTTAGTCGCTCCGTCACACGAATATTGACCGGTTTCATAAGGCTCTTGATAGACTTCGCGACAAGAATGCTGAAACCGTAGAGACTCCGGAAGAAGCGGAAGAGCTCGAGACTAGAATTAGGGTATTTTAAGGCCATTAGACAGCCAAGCTCATTTAGAAGATCAAAAACCACACCCGTTCCGGTAGAGTTCACGAGCATGGCGATTCTCTGAGCCAGGTACAAAAATTCTTGAGCAAGCTTATGCTCCTCAGGTTAATGAAGAAGCCGGTGTCGCAGAAAATCTCTACCAAGGCGATATTGCGCTTGATGAGTAAGCTAAAAATTCATAAAACTGATCTTGCGCACTCTTTAGTACCCAAGTCGACCAGATTCTCGGAGATTATCTTGACGGTCCGTCAGTGGCAAGAAAGAAAAGACAGGTTTTAAGAAATTAAATTTGTTCAATTAAATATTATCAGGCTTCTGCTATCTACACTCGTTGGTCGCCAGCTTTCTACTATTACTTTGACTCATCCCTGTCGGCAGCGGCTCGCAACGTTGCGCAGCTGGCTATTGACTTCTGGCAAAACTCGACTTGCATTACTTTTATTCAAAGCACGACCAATGCGTTAGTTAATTTCACTAACCCTATAGCTTTTTTACAGTAACCGAGTGCGCTTCTTCACTGGTCAGGGCTGCTATTCGTACATTGGAATGATCGGTGGTGTCCAGGATTTGTCACTCGGTGCCGGTTGCGAAAGCGTGAGTCATGAATACAGTACAGTAGAGCTTTCGCTATAGGTTGGTACTGCTGCTCACGAGATTGGGCATGCGCTTGGGTTCTACCACGAGCAGTCTCGACACGATCGTGATAATATGATCTCGTTGAATCGTGCCAATATTGCTGCATCGGCTTTGGATCAATTCAATAAGGTGTTTAAGGGCTATAGTGTAGTATCGGGCGTTTTCCAGGAGACTACCGCTACTAACAACAACTACGGTATGCCGTACGACTACGGTAGCGTTATGCAGTATAGTGAGGGTGGTTTCTCGAGTAATGGGCAACCAACTATGATTGCTAAGGTAGAAGAAAAACCTACTTTAAAGCTTACTTTTTTGGCAGAAGGTAGCCACCGGAAACGATACCATTCTAGATCACCCCATACCAAGATACCATGGGTGGAGATTTCGTCTCTTTCTACGATATTTCCATGATGAATCAGCATTACCAGTGCAAGGGTCGGTCACGGCGGCCAGTTTTCAATGTCGTTTTGTTTAGCCAAATGCACGTCGGGGGCCACCTGTCTAAATGGGGGTTTCCGGAATTCCCGGAATTGCGCGGCTTGTATTTGCCCGTATGGATGGGGAGGCGCAACATGTAACCAGAGGGTAAGAAAGAAAGCACGATTTCTGCATTGAAACTGATTTTATAGACACCTGGATGTGGGTCAGATTTGACGGCAACTGCTACAGTGCAGACCTTGTCGACTTCAGTTGGAGCTGGTACAGCTGTGGAACAGCCAACTTTTGCTACGTGTAATTACATGATTCAGGTATATCAGTGTAATAGTCATTAAAGGGAATAGGAAGGCATAGTCTATACGAGTTTCAGTAGTTTGAAGGTGCATTTTAAGCTTTATAACATAAAAATCATAAAAATCAATAGTTTCTTACAGGCTCCCGTCGGCCAGAAAATCGAGGTCGTGCTCACAGCTCTGGGCAGGCAACAATGCATTGCCGGCTGTCCCTACACCGGAATCGAGCTGAAAGCTATGAGCGACCATCGCTACACCGGTATCCGGTAAGTATTCATCGAATCAGCGATCATAAAATTAAATCAATTTAACACAAAACCTATTGAGTTTTCAGCTATTGCTGCACTAACGATGCCACTACAAAAATCGTTTCTGAAGCTCATCTGATGCCCGTGATTGTCTATAATCGTTATTCTTCCAGCACCGTCACCCTGACCTACAGATACGGTAGCTCAAAATGGATTTAGTTTTGTAACGATCATCTTAGTGGCTGCGTCCACACCATCGACAGTTACTGTCTCACAAGTGCCGGACGCCGGAGCAACATACACCGGATCCAACGGTGGTACGGTTACTGTAGCAACCACAGCCAAGCCATCCGGAACCTGTGCGGAGAATGCCAAGTAATATGCAAATTTAATAGCCGAGTTAGCTTATTAAAAATAGCTCCTAAGTTGGCTAAGAGCCCAATTTTCAGCTGCGCCACCTGGAATGCGAATGGCTTCTGCGCTTCTACCGTCTATACCCTTGCTGATAAAAAAGCAAACTGCCCATCTACTTGTGGACTTTGTAATTCTGGAGTATCCACGACCACCTCAAAGACTGCTACCAGCGCCAAGGTGACAACAACGACCAAAAAGGCCACTGTGACATGCACGGATAATGCCAAGTAATTTTTCTTTATTGCAAAAATCAAGTAATAGTTGCGCCACATGGAACGTGAACGGCTTCTGTACGTCCCCGTACTACACTGCAGCCGATAAGAAGACCTATTGCCCGAATCTCTGTGGATTGTGTGCATAATTTGTGTGAGCGGGAGCGCTTATAATTAATAAGATCCAATAATAAATCTTTGTGAATCCGAGATTAATACGAAGAGAATTGACAAAATAACACCAATGCCAAGCATAATAACGATATATTTTGCAATTCCGAATTAATGATAATAACTTAAGTTTAGATACCGCAGTTGCGCTCAATGGCTCCTTTTCCAATTTTAAAATGTCAAAATTTGATAGAAATATAGAAATTCCGAATTCGGAAATTTTAGAATGTCGGTTAAAAATGCCGAAATATGAAAATTTGATAAGACAACATTCTCAAGTTTTTAAGCTTTAAGCATGGAATTTGGCTATTTTTGCGGATGATTTGTGATGTAAAACCGACATATCGAAATGCCGAGAACGAAAACATTAATTTCATCGTTTTGGTATAATTTTCAAAACTATTTCCACTATGCTTTTTAAACAAATTGCTAGGTTCGGTGAGTCTAGCTTGGCCCAGAGACCCAGACCTACCGCTGAATATTTTGCACTGGCGAGCCCTCGTGTAGGTAAAAACATCAGGGTGGTCCCCGCACAGCTTCCCTTCTTCCCTCTATCCGCCTAGCCTACCCCCACAATTCAGTTCCGCACAACGCCCAAATCAAAATCGAAAGTAAATAAATTCTATTACAAATTTTCTAAACATTTTTTCGTAGTAAGTTTTGGCTAGTAATCTAGCATAAATTTTTAAGGCCTAAATAACAAGAATACAGTGCTTCTTAATAAATTTATTGTTATGCAAAAAGAATTTTAATGCGCCATTTATTAAGCTGTTGTAAATGCACGTAGTTGATAATAATCGATATCAGGATTCATCGCCGTTAAAAAACTTCCGATTATTTGCTGAGGCTCAAAAAATTTAATTTGTTTAATAGATGGATGTCGTCAGATGCGGCATACTATAAAAAACACGCAACTCATTTAGGCTCAAGCTCGACTTTCCTAAAAATTACAAAGAATTTGACTATTGGTCGTCAAAGGGCTTCATCAAGAAGCTCCCCCAACCTGTGTAGGCACCCAATCACTTTTCCGAGGATATATTTACGATACGAAGCAGTAACCGTGAGCAAGGTAAGGGAGGTAATTGTAGTATGTGCCGATTGGATACCTGTTAATAGGTTTATCGACCCTAAATATATTGAAAATCAAAGGAAAACGGACCAACATTGTGGCAGCCAAATCTGGGCCCAGACGGTGAGCAAAACGGCAACATATGGTGCTCCCAACGTTGCGAGAGGGATCGATATCTAAGAAACGAATATTATTTAGTACTATATACTATACCATATTTTTACTATAATTAACGGGCTCAAAAATTATAATTTTTACTCACCCCAATAATCAAAACCCGGAAAAATTTGCGATGCATCCGCTTGGTCTTCCTGCTCATTGTAGAATGATGGTCGTTGAGTAAGGTATAGGAATGCCAAAGGAGGAAGATAACCTGAAATTAAATTTAATATAATACGATTAATGTAATACACCTTACCAGAGGTATCCCATAAGAGATCACCGCCACTAAAGAAGTTGCTAAGATGGTGAAGCTCGAAAATTCAATAAATGGAGGTAACAATGGTCTACGGTCTATGATATAAAGTGTATCCAATGAAAACATGTAGGAGAGTGAAGGGTCTTCCTATAAATAATAAAAATAAATTGATTGACGTGGCTTAAAAACCTGGACAGTAGCGCGTAGAATATCAGAATCAGGTCCTTTTTCAATTGGCGCCGTTAGAGCTCCAAGCATAAACCAGACTGTTGGTACCAAGTAATGAACCAGAGAAATGCCGACAACTGTACGTTTCGAGAGACGGAGACGACTCTCAAGAGGTAGCAGGACCTGATGACGATAGGAAAAACATTGGAGGGTAGATGCCAGCATCCCCACTACGAACATGGCTCCGAAACACTAGAAAAACGGCAGAAGCTGGAGGTTACCAAGGCTTACCAGCAGCACTCTTGGATGAATAAGGTTTAAGATGCCTAACATACTACCAGCCAAGGTCGGTAAATAGAATTCGGGACATACTCCGTGAAAAATCAGCTCTTGGAGGATCGCCCAGAACTAGATTATGCTAATGTAAAAATTTAATAAATTTTAAAATACCTGAAACCAAGCCAAATGCCAACGATATGATGACGCTTTCTCTGACGGGGTCTTTATTATAATCCATAGCGTAAATATATTAAATGGTGTCCCGACCACAAGGAGTACGTTTGAAGACGTTTTGAAGAAGGTTGGATCCTCGTAATTTGTTGGTGAGTTCATTGCTAGAAATTCCAGGTGGTCCATAAAGCCAAAGCGAGCCGTTTGGCAGGTGTGAGTTTTTTCTGCGTTCATGCTTCGAACATTCCGTCCGAAGGCACCAATCAGGCGGATGGCGCAGTGTTTTCGGATCTCGCTCTATTTCTCTCCCTCTCCCTCTCTCTCTCTCTCGTTCTCTCTTTCACTCCTCTCTCTCTCTTTTGGCTACATTTCACACTTTGGCACTCGATCTTCACCCATTCAAAGAGGCAATGAACACCAGGTTTAGGCAATGTCAGACCATAATTAGGATCCATTAATTCATGCTCTACCTGCCGCATAATGATGTGTTTCGAGCGGGTCAAAGTATTTTTAGAACGCGTGGAAAGTTCAAAAGAATGTTATTTGCTTCGAACTTGACAGGCAAAGTCTAAAATTACCCACTACATTCCAAAACCACATTATCCAATGTCATGACTGTTGGATCCATGCAACGGCTAGCAAACCAATAAAACACGATTGAGCCGCATATGTCCATGTGATCAGCTGGCACTTTCAAATCATCACAAAAACACAAAATCTTTTATTTATTCAAAGGAAAAATATATTTCCATTTATTATGGCGGCGGCGGGGTGGACGGGTGGCGGCGTGGCAGCTGGTGGACGGAGTCATGGCGGCGTGGCGGAGGGGCGACTGGCTGAATCAGGATTCAAATTATTCGTAAAACCAGGGTTGAAAAGCCGCTTCGCGACTTTCCAACCCTGGCCCCGTCTAACTTGATGAAATTCTTCACTCTGCATACGTCTCTCGAATTCCTATTGGGGAAAATGAGGAATTCCACTCCCTAGGCATCCGCCACTTCCGGCGTATGCTAATTATTTCCTAACAAAGAAGACTGCCGAATTTTTCAACAAAAATTCAATTTAATATCGAAAATAGCATAATTTGCAAAATCTGATATGCGTGCAGTCATCTCGGGGACGTTACGCACCTAATGACGTATCATACGTAGCGTAACGCCCTTCCCCTCTTGAGATATTCTCCGGACACGGTGACGGAAGTTGCATTCAAATGCACACACACACACACACACACACACACACACACACACACACACAGGAACTATTTTTTTATATATAGTAGGATTAGTTTTATTTTGCAAACTATCACCGGCATATTTAAACATATTTGTAGAGTTCCTCATTATCGTTGTTTTTACAGCAATTTTACCCCAGCGAAAGCATACTGATTGGGGCAACATTTCAAATTCCGATTCACACCCGCGTGGTTAGGGACATTACTTCCCCTACCAGCTTTGCTAGAAAAAAAACCGCCTTGGAAAAATCCAAAAGAATCATTGCTAGCCTGCCCGTTTGTTTAATAGAGTCTAAGCCTAACTCACAGTTCGCCTCATAGTACACGTTGATCCTCTCCCGCTGAAGCTCCGAGTCGCCCTTGTATTGTCCGTCCGCCTGTACGCCGTGCTCGTCCGAGGCTAAAATCTAATTTTTCAAATATAGATAGCGGAATTATCTCCAACCCTTTGTTTGCTATTCATAAGCGTAAAAACTTTACGAATATTTGAGAAAAAATTAAAAAAATAGCGCTTCTTCCGCCAAAAGACCTTTTTGACCAAAATTCCGACCATTTGAAAATGTTTTGGAAATTTTAAAATAGTTTTTAGTTTTCATAGTTTCTTAAAAACGATTCAGTTACTGGGCACTGGAAAAAGTTTAAGTTAACGGCAAAATTAAGAAACCGGGCGAGCGGCGACTGGCGGGCTGGCGGGCTGGGCGGCGGCGGCGGAGGGGGCGGCGGAGCGGCTAAAAAGTGATTATTAAATTCGTATCTCCCGAGCTAGAAAAATGTTTGAGAAAGCCGGAAATTTGGCCATTTTCGATGGAAAGGTCAGTTTTTAGCTTAAGATGCAGTTGCGGCTCAGTATTTAAAAACAATATGGAAGCGCTTACGCTATCCTAGACTATTCTATTTTATTCTATAAAAACCTAGGTTTGCCCCGAAATCTTTGTTTAACAACAAAAATTAATCATCCCCAACTGGCGTCCACGCACCATAATCAAGTGCCGGCTGCGGCTGCGGACGGGGCGGGCGTCCCGGGGACGTGAGCGCCGGGGTCGCAGCTGAAAAGTTACTATTAATATCGTACAACCCGCGCAGAATATTAATCGCTAAATGATCAAGATATTTAAACTCACCGGCGGGCAACGGCGGTCTGGAGATGACCTCCCAGAACTTCGCGCCGATTTGGTTTCCACATTGCCCGCCCTGAATGGAAAGGTAAAATAATGCGCAATATTACCCCCATTAGAGCTTTCCAGTGTTATTTAGCCCTCACCGTTGTTTTTATGAGCTATTGGTATAATATTCCGCATCTTTCGCATGATCGGGGGGGATGTTTTTCTTAGGAACCAATTTTTGAAATATGGATACTCGCAATGTTTCTAAACTGTTTTTGCTATTCCTAAACGTAAAAAAGTTTTTAAATTAACAAAAAAAAAATGAAAAAACACTGATGTTCCGACCAAAAATGGCCGGGGTTTTGTAAACGTTTTGATAGTTTTAAAATGGTTTTCGAGCTAAAATGTAGCTTGATTTGACCCAAAAACATGAACAAGATCAGGCATGGTCAAAATGGGCCCGAATCGGTCCGATGCGGTCCGGGGTGTGTCCGATTTTGAATGCGAAATTTGCAAATTTCCATTCGTTTCGGTCATTTGCCTAGTCAAAGTGGTCTGTTTCCTTGCTTTGCATTTGAATTGCGGATTTCCGTTCCTGGTTTCCAAAAATCCCAGCAAAGAATTGCGTTAATTGAGAGCTGTCCGGACCCAAAATGACCAACCCTGATCAAGATACTTTTTATTAAGTTATAGAAAGAGAATGGAGAGAAACGAAAATATGACTATTAATTAAGACAGGAGCATAGCATCCCTCAGGGGTTTATATTTCCCTTAACGTCCTATGAGAGAAAAGAATGCAACCAACTTACCCCCGTTGTCCATACAGAACGTTTCGTCGGTATTTTCCAGCAGCTGGTGATTGAACGTCCACCAGCTGCCTCCCCGCAACCGCCCCTGAAAAGAGCAGCTACTTTTTTGGATGCAAAAAAATGTAAAAATTTTGACGCTATTTCTGGCATCCTCATCGAATTTTGATCATAAAAGAAGTCTTAATTATGAAAATTGTTCGGAGAATCCCCGAATTCGGGAGATTGAGTGCCTTACAAGCCATTACGACTTGTAATTACCGCGCCCCAAAAATTACCGGGTTTTTGCCCCAAAAACTTTTCGGTTTTACTCAAATATTGCGCGTTTTTCGCGCTGAAATCACTTTTCTGTTACTTTTCTGCAGTGTCCCTTTCGTTTTTTGACCAGTAGGTCCAATCACCGCATGTGCGAATTCTGACTTCCCAGCCCCTGTAATGACCTTGACTAAGGTATAATATTGCAGTTGCGTTACGGTTGGGCGCACGATTATTAGAAGATTTGCATACACACTGTCGAAAAATAGATTTCCGAAAAGCACGTTTTCGGAAACCAGGATTTCGAAAAGTCATTCTCCTAAAGTCATATTTTTGAAAAGAAATCGTTTAGAAAATTAGTTCTCCTAAAATGAAATTTCCCAAAATTGGCGTCCAGCCAGGCCCGTAAGAGGGGGGGGGAGGGAGGGGGGTTTCTAAACTGTTCTTCTCTTTTAATTTCTAAGCGAAAAAGCTTTACAAATTAAAAAATGTAAAATATCGATTTTTCGACAAAAAATGGCCGTGGTTTGACCGAAATTTCGACTTTTTTGAATGAATTGATAGCTTTTAAATTTATTTAGAATGGGATTTACTTTATTAAAAACATGATCAAGCTACTTCCTATTCAGTTATTCGACATTGCTAGGCTTGTAGAAAATTTTTGGAAGTAAACGACGATATTTACAAACCAGCCGGGCGGGCGGGCGGCGGCTGGGGGGGCTGTGGGGCTGAGACGCGGGGGGCGGCGGAGTGGCGCCTAAAATTTAACGATGAATTAAAATAGTAGCATAGCATCCCAAACCAGGCAACAAACATACCCCCGTTGTCCATGCAGAACGTCTCGTCGGTATTTTCGAGCAGCTGGTGGACCGACTGTCCACCAGCTACCTTCCCCGCAACCGCCACTGGAAAGAGAAGCTACTTTTTTGGAAGTACCTGTTTCAAAAGTGTTTTTGCTATTTCGAAACATAAAACAAATAAATAAAAACTATAGAAATTTTTAAAAATAAAAACTACCGATTTTTCAACCAAAAACTTCCGTTTTTTACCAAAATTACGACCATTTGAAAATGTTTTGCAGTTTTAACGTGGTTTTTCTAATTTAAATGGACTTCCTATGAATTTATTCGACATTTTTAGGCTTTTAGAAAAAATTGAAGATAACGGCGATATTTACAAACCAGCCGGGCTTACTGCGGCGGCTGGGGGGCTGGGGGGCTGGGACGCGGGGGGCGCCTGAAGGGGACGCCTAAAATGTCACGATTAATTAAAACAGGAGCATAGCATCCCAAAAAAAGGCAACAAACATACCCCCGTTGTCCATGCAGAAGGTCTCGCCAGTGGTGCTGGTGCACCGGCTGTGCACCAGCTACCTTCCCCGCGCCTGGCCCTGGAAAGAGAAGCTGATTGTTTGAAAGGCAACACTTACCTGATCCTTTTTTCGTCGGACACACTCAAATGTACTTCATTTTTGGGCGCGAGCGGGCGGGGGGCAGCCTGCAACATTTAATCAATCCAAACCCCGTATAATCTATTTACTAGATTGTATCTACTGATTTTGGCTGCTATAAGCTGCTCTGTTACGTTCCTCTCAAAGCGTCCAAGACGTGCAAAGCGTTTTCTTCGAGATTACAGGGCAAGCTCCAAAATCACCCACCAAAAAAAAACGCTTCACTGGCACAGCCGTGTCGGGAGGGAGAATCAAGAGGAATGAATATGAGCGCTTTTTCTTTGAATCGGATGCTAATCATGCTAATTTTGTTA